CACTTTTTAAAAGCATTTTGCTATATAAAGTCAATAAAATCATGTTTACTGCCATTCCTATCCAATTTATATTGTACCTCTATTAAGCGGCAAACCTCCATTAAGCGGCCACTTTTCAAAGTCCCGAGGGTGGCCGCTTAATAGAGGTCGGACTGTAACAATATTCTGTTTAAATCGCCAAGAAACGTCTCTGTCTGTGATCGAAGTGAATTCATTTGTAGTCGCTCCCTTTGTTTTTACTTTTGTTTAAAAACACTTACCTCGGAACAAAACTGACCGCGGGCTCTTGGCTGGCACTTCGTGCCTCATTCGAAAAGCTTCGTTTGACGAAGACGTCACCCTTCGGGTGACGATCGTTTCTACCCAAAACCTCTTCGTACTTGAAACAGATTCGCTTAAGGATATGTCAGTCAAATTCGTTTGCAGCAGTCGCGCACCGCGAATATAACTGGAATCAAGGTCAAACATAATTGCTTTTCTTACTTTGATTACATCAGCAGTAAACCACACTCAGCCTTTATATGGAGGACATTCCGTGATGGCTTGTTTAGACGGGAAAATCATTAATAATAAGGAAATCTAGAAAATTTCAGTGTGTTGATTGTAATAGAGCAAGTAAAGCCCTGGTTACTTGGGAACTGACCTTCATGTCTCGCTGAAGATATTTCTAAAGACTCCAACTTTTCACTAATGCTTCCTATTTCAGTTTTGATATCTTTGAGGTCATCTTGGATGGCATCTAAAGGATGAACGGCAAAAGGAGGGTTTTACTACATTAATGAACTCATAGATGTCCCTTTTTTCATGCAGTGAGCATATTAAACAGAGAGCCTGTTATTAAGGCCGGTTAAAAATCTATTCGATGACTAACCTTCAATTTCGGCTGCAAATGTTTCTAAAGTTCTCAGCTTACTGCTGACGCTTCCTATTTCACTTTTGATGCATTTGACATCATCTCGAATGGCATCTAAAAGAAAAAAGATGAAGGAAAGGTTTCATTTACGTTTAACACTAACAATAATCCTTTAGTGAATTCGAACAGAACCCTGAAACGCTCAAATCTTGGTTGAAACATACGCCGTCCATGGATGCGACTAACAATTGAGGTGGCCGAACACAGTTTTGCGGGCGCTCAGTGGTAACTCGCGTGATGGCGCGTGTTTAAATTGGACAAACAAACACGGCGGCGAAAAAAGCAATGGTACACGGAAGACGATTTCTCAAAATCTACTCATCAAAATTTTATGATATTTGGCAGAATGTTTACTCTTTTCGTATTTTAAATAATGAGAACATTAAAATGTAAGTTGAACAGACTATTTGATAATTAGAGTACAATTATATTATTGATTATCTAAAAACTCGTCTGTTAAAATTTGGTCAAATAAGTTTCAAATAGTAATGATTAATTATAGTAAGCTGTATTTGCCATGATTTGGCAAATGACATATACTCACAAACTGCCAAAACTGTGTTCAAACACCTTAAGCGTGCTAAAAACAGCTGGGATGTAGACGAATTTAATTTAATACATATTGTCGAACTATACTTGAAGCATTGTTTGCAATAATATGCTTAATGAGTACGTGTCCTTTCAGTAAGCATAATTGTATGGAAGATCCCTCTCACAAAGAAATATAAGTATTTAGAGACTGACCGTCGCTTTCGACTGAGGACATTTCTAGATTCTCTAGCGTCTTACTGACGCTTCCTAATTCACTTTTGATGTCTTCGAGGTCATCTCGAATGGCACCTGAAAAAAGAAATCGTGGAACATGCACAAATGTAATAAATTTAAAATGTATACCATTCGTTTGAAAAGCATACGACTATTTTTGCGGTTGAATAAGAAAGAGCACATCTACAGCGGTCATGATGTTGGACGGTTTGATTAAAATTCATCAGCCTGAGAAAAGAGTGGTGTTTGGACCCTTATACCTCAGTTAGCAGTACTGAAGCTTAATGATCTTAGATTACCCCACCTCCCAAAAACAAACGCACCAATTATTAGCAAAAAGGTTATTTTGACCAACTCTCAGCCACCATTTCAGCAACTTCCACCAGACAATGTCTTATTGGTTACACAGTTACATTATCCTTTTAAAAAGTATTATGTGGCGTTCAATGAGTTCGGCCAAGGCCCCTACTTATAACCAATATGTTTCACAATATCTATTCACACCTTCCATCTTTTTAAGCTTGTCTTTTACGTTATCTTCGTCTTTCTTCCACTCCTTTAGCAGCTCTCGGTAATGTGTCTCCATGTCTGGATCTATAGTCTCAGTCTTAAGTTTTGTGATAGCAGCTGCATCTACACCCAGTACAACCAACGCGGCACTAACATCCTGCCAAAAGGAATTAAACGTAGGATCGTCCACAAACGCCTGGCTTGCATGCCCATAAACAGAGTTTCTATAGTGCTTCACTCTGGCTATGTTAGCCTCAACACTCGTGTCTGAAGCAGGTGGCAGACTATCCCAGCCTGTGGCAGGAGCAGCCAGACCACAGATGTTCCTCAGAAGCACCATCAGTAGCGTGATGTCAAAGTATTCTGATGTTACAGATGAAGGTGGAGAGGGATACAGCTTACCCCATTGTGTAGCATTGATGATTCTCTTTTTCTTAAGGGACTGCAGAGTTGAATGTTCTGCAGAACCAGCTTTCAATACATTAAACAGGTTCGCTGGGGAGTGGAATTTGTCAAAAGCATATCTTAAGGCCTTGGTACCTCCATCCACTAAAAGGCGACATAATCTTGCGTAATTAGTCGTCTCCTTGGTGGATGGAGCTAATGTTGGAGCAGAAGCCATCACAGTAGACCTGCAAGACATAATTTACACCCTTATAGTTATATGCCTGTTCCCACTAGTGCCTTAAGTTGGCATTTGTTCTCAGTTTGTAAAATCCTCACACATTAACAAACAACCATTTAAAAGTTTTTTTGAACAAGGGCTTCATATGAATTGTGACAATAAACTACTGGTACTAAGTATCTACGTAAATTACGCAAGCTTGCTAACGAGTTCTAAATACAATATTTGTTCTTTATATCACTTACCCCTGACCCTCACAGTATCACTGCTGGGAACCGTTTTTTAGTGAACCGTTGATCAGACCACTGGTCCTCAGATTTTAAATTGACAATAATATTGAAAAGATATCACCGAGTGGAAAGGAATGTTGTTTGCATGAACATTACAACAAACAAACAAAAAAAATGAGTCGCGGCTTTCTACTTATCACGAAACCTTAAACATTTGCTGGTGAATTAAGGCTTTCCGCTATTAAATCACCAACGCCGAACTAAGAAACCTTGCTCTCAAATTCACGGACAAACGTCTTGGGACACAATTATTTGCACATGTATGGGGCTTTCGTTAAATCGCACATTCCCAAACCCCCCACCGCCCCAACCACCAACCCCACAAACAAGGTTTGGTTAACCTTGTATCCAGAATTTTCCCGAGTTTCAATTCAGTTGTATAGGGGGGGGGGAAGAGCAATGCCAGATATTTTCACTGTTTTATCACTGTTTTATCTGGGCACCCAGAAAAATGTCAGAAAATTACGAATACTGCATCACTATCCCTAGAACGTTTGTTCAGGATTTGAGCTAAGAATGAGTAGAATTCAGACCAAGTTGACCTCTATGAATTCTCGATCTATCAGTAATATGGGGAAACATTAAACTCTAAGGCGAGCGGTGTGCGCAAACTGACAAAACCACACGGTTGCGCATGACTTTGTGAAAGTCGAAGGAGTAATTGCTTAACAATCGTTAACTAGTACATAAGTGCACAGCATTTCCAGTAATGTTTAATTTACATGGAAGCAGACCACTTCCTTATCCCAGTAAACTGAGAATTATGTGTGCATGGTGGTTAAAATTGAAGGGGTGACCCCAAAACATTGATCCCCGGTCCATGGACCCCCCTACGGACCGGTCCACGGACCACTGTACGGATCACTTCACGGACCCCCTAAGGAACCCCTTTACGGACCCCCCATAAAAAGACGCTAATAAAAATGACAATTAGAGATTTAACTTACCGTTTGTTTTGTTTTGTTTTTTGTTATTGTTGCCTCCTTCACTGTGGCGATGAAAGGAGGACCTGCGTACTTCGAAAAAGACCGATAACTTAGCTAACTTGTGTATTCGCTGCCACCTCCGACTGCCTCCACCATTTTGTTCGGCTCATTCCTCCTCGTATTCAGTGACTCGTCCCAGACTTCAAAAATACGACACGGTATCTCCCGTTGTTTTCATGTTTTTCATGGAGCAAACAAACGGATTTTTCTTTCCCTACAAAAAAAGATTCCTGAAAAAATTTCAACTCCAGGAGGATCCACCCATTTTTCATTTTTCTTAATTATTAGGGAGGCAGGGTTGGTTTTTGAATGACATTGTCGTTGCCGTTGCCGTCCTGTATCTTGAATTAAATTAAATGGAGTTAAAGCCCGTTCGGCGAAAAAGAGATGCAATGTACTTAATACGGCAAAAAATTGTTACCTTCCTTATTTTTAAGCTTGTTCATACTCTGTCCAACTCAATGCTCTAATAGTGATGTCCACTTTACAGTTGGCTACGTATTGGCCAAGCCTTTGAATAAGAGTGAGGCTGAGGGGGACCTGGTTATACGAAAGTTGTTACCTTTGATGTGTGGATTATTCTGTCTGTGGTATTTTCCCTCCCGATCAATCATAACAAAGTCGTCCTGCTGAACGATTTGGCAACTAAACATATAACTGTCAAATAAACTGAAGGTGCATCGCTATCTGTAATGGACATCGGTATCTTTCTTTGTCGAGGGAGCACTATTTTGTGAAGCCTGGGACGAGTCAATGAACACGCGGGGGAATGAGCCGAACATAATGGCGGAGGCAGTCGGTCTTTTTCGAGGTACGCAGGTCCTCCTTTCATCGCCACAGTGAAGGAGGCAACAACAACAAAAAACAAAACAAAACAAACGGTAAGTTAAATCTCTAATTGTTATTTTTGTCTTTTTATGGGGTTCCGTGGACTGGTCCGTACAGTGGTCCGTGGACCAGGTCCGGGGGGACCCATGGACCGGGGATCAGTGATTTCGGGTCACCCAAATTAAAGTAAACAAAAAACGAACAAAACAGAGTTAAATTGGCCATAAGTAGGCGATGTCGGCTGAGCGTGATTCAAAACGAACATCTTATATATATTTCCGTAAATTTTCCTTATTTGCAAGACTAATAAAAAGTAAATCATTTATAGAGGTGCCGTACTAGAAACATTTATTAGAACGGAAACATAAGTCCGTCCTTCAATACCGTTAAAGGCAATTTAGAAGTGTAAATTTGTAGCTTGATTTTTCTTTTCCTTTTCAGAATAATTTGGTTCACGTTAACTAAAAGGTCCGACGGCAAAAAACAGACGGCTATATAAGGCGGTTGTCAACAAAAAGAGATTTATTCCAAATAATATATGTTGTCAAGAATCGATGATACAGTTGCATCACAAATCAAACTTCCTGTTTCACCTTATTTTGATATGCAAATTTCAACTTTCATTTTCAATCTCAATTTCATTTCCCTGATGCTCAGTTCTTCTCAAGATTCGGGTCACCCCAAGATTCTCTTCACGGAGAAACAATTAAACTGACAAACATTTCAATTTTTATTAATCCTCAACGAAATATAGTCAAGTTAGGAACCACAAGAAATACAACTAAAGCATGTCTGGTTATCGATGCGGGAACATTGTCATTTGCATTTACAAAGGAGATCAGTGATGGTGTAAATCTAGAAATAAACCTAAACATTGTCATTAATATGATTTCTTAAAACGAATAAAAGGTACCTACTAAAAGTCGTGCAGCCTCAAGAAAGACCAAGAAAAGAAACCAGTGATGACAAAGAAACGAATTTCTCCTAAACACGAATCGATCGCTTTTCTGGAAAACACGAAACAACATGCCTTTATGTGCTCGAACACTCGCCAACAGCAGCTGTTTTAAGGCTAACAACTGATCAATTTACTGAGAAGAAGTATTTTAAGATCGCTTTTAACAGCCAGTTGTTCAATCTCCTAACTTAGGAGAAACTATACTATACTATATAACTAAAGTAAACAAAAAACGAACAAAACAGAGTTAAATTGGCCATAAGTAAGCGATGTCGGCTGAGCGTGATTCAAAACGAACATCTTATATATATTTCCGTAAATTTTCCTTATTTGCAAGACTTTTAAAAAGTAAATCATTTATAGAGGTGCCGTACTAGAAACATTTATTAGAACGGAAACATAAGTCCGTCCTTCAATACCGTTAAAGGCAATTTAGAAGTGTAAATTTGTAGCTTGATTTTTCTTTTCCTTTTCAGAATAATTTGGTTCACGTTAACTAAAAGGTCCGACGGCAAAAAACAGACGGCTATATAAGGCGGTTGTCAACAAAAAGAGATTTATTCCAAATAATATATGTTGTCAAGAATCGATGATACAGTTGCATCACAAATCAAACTTCCTGTTTCACCTTATTTTGATATGCAAATTTCAACTTTCATTTTCAATTTCAATTTCATTTCCCTGATGCTCAGTTCTTCTCAAGATTCGGGTCACCCCAAGATTCTCTTCACGGAGAAACAATTAAACTGACAAACATTTCAATTTTTATTAATCCTCAACGAAATATAGTCAAGTTAGGAACCACAAGAAATACAACTAAAGCATGTCTGGTTATCGATGCGGGAACATTGTCATTTGCATTTACAAAGGAGATCAGTGATGGTGTAAATCTAGAAATAAACCTAAACATTGTCATCAATATGATTTCTTAAAACGAATAAAAGGTACTTACTAAAAGTCGTGCAGCCTCAAGAAAGACCAAGAAAAGAAACCAGTGATGACAAAGAAACGAATTTCTCCTAAACACGAATCGATCGCTTTTCTGGAAAACACGAAACAACATGCCTTTATGTGCTCGAACACTCGCCAACAGCAGCTGTTTTAAGGCTAACAACTGATCAATATACTGAGAAGAAGTATTTTAAGATCGCTTTTAACAGCCAGCTGTTAAATCTCCTAACTTAGGAGAAACTATACCATTCTATGATCCGAACGTAAAATATGCTAAGACGTCAAAATTCTCGTTCAGCTTACCTTCTCCACATTAAAGACTTTTCGTCGCTTACCTGAATTATTTGGCAGCTTCAGGGTTGTTTAGGTGACTCCAAATATAAATCGATTCATCCCTGAAAGGCGTTAGTCAGACCACCAGAGAGTTCGTGTTCCTTTGAAGATTTCTCCTGAAACAAACATGGTAATGTACAATGTTCGTGATAGAGGCGAGAAAATCAGTCTAGACAGACCGTACAGTCACGCGAAAACAATTGCCTAATACCTGTGCACTGATCTCTGAAGAAAATGCCCTAAATGAACGAATCTACGAAACCAAGGTTCCCAGCGCCATTTTAGTTTCCGCCTCAGACGGAAGAATGAGGCGTATCATCGTAGAAAGATCTCGAGTTCGGATGTCAACAATTAAACGCGAGTAGCGTGACCAAAGTAACACTCATTTCCATACTCTAGAATTGATACATTAATGATTCATACACAAAGCAGTTCTCTACAAAGGACTATCAATATTGATTAGGGTGAAGCCCTGAGAATAGTGATTAGGGTTAAGCCCTGAAAATAGTGATTAGGGTTAAGCACTCACTCGAAAAACGGTTAGCTGGTTAGCTTCTATTTAGGGTTAGGTTTGTTAGTATATAGCTTCAAATCAAACCCTTAATCGTCTGCAAATCCTCGGTGATGTAGTGATTTACGTGATGGACTGCAGATCCTTAAAAACTGAAGAGACTTAGACTTTCATGAACATTTTATCAAGCAGCAATTTCAAGAGACATAAAACCTTCATGTAAGAATAGTAAAATGTCTTGTGAGAGGTACTGTACTGGTCGTACTGAGAAGAAAATGTTATTCTGGAGTATGGAAATGAGTGTTAATTTAGACACGCGATGTAGAAAGTCACGGGATGCAAAAGGGCTATTTTGAAACGTGCCGACTAATTCTGGGCAACTCATAAAAGTAACGATAGATAAAGAATGAATGGCGTAGATGTCCAGGACTTTAAAACTGTTGTTCGTATGTTGCAGCTTGGAGCCCATGACTTAAACCCAGTCCGCCCTACACTCGCGTTCCCTTTCTTTTGGAAACGAAAATTTTCTTACCAAGGCAAAACTGGTTCGCGTCCACGTATCGCTTTTGAATCATTTTCACCCGACTAAACTTATCCCATTCTGTTTAAATAACAGAGACACGTTTTTACTCGGATTGGCCTTCAGATCATTTTACAGTTCTCCCCGCGTACCGATCAATGTTTGATCGATATCAATGCACTACAACTTAGTACCCCAGGGAAGGGTGCTCCCTATATTATGGCCTATATCGGAGGCTCCGCCCGAAAGTGGTACCTTTTTTAAGGCTTTATGTATATGAAAGGATAGGGATTTCTCTAGTTGAAGTATATATGAAAGGGTAGGGAAATCTGTCATTTTGGTCTGAAAAATGACCTAAAAAGGCAACAGAAGGATTTTATGGCGAGAAAATGTTCTGTTTTTTTATTTATTTATTTATTTATTTATTTATTTATTACTGGTTTAAAGACAGTGTATTTATAGCAGTTAAAAGGGATGCAAAGTTCTTAACTATTCTATGTATGTGAAGGCGGTACCATTTGTCAGTGGAAGGTATTCTTGGTTTGCAACCACGTGACGAGGCGGCAATGTTGGGGGTCAAAACAATAAAATTTGATTCTCTAAGAATTTTCGTGAAAATGGAGTTAACTTCCCAGAGGAGAGAAATGCTTTTGTTCTTGACCACTAACATGGCTGTCGTGACGCCACGTGCAACCAGGAATACGAAAGAGTACTATTTCTGTCAAAAATGTAGCCTGTGTACAGACCCCCCATCCCCTCAGGAAACATCGAAGAAGGGCGTCTGTGATTCACCTTTGCTAATAATATAATCGTGTATGGAGACCACGTGATTATTCCCGGAATGTGTTTGGCTGTTACTCGTAGATCACTTCATCATCGTGTAAATAAGGGATTTTGGTTGGCTTTAGGGTCTGACGTCAAAACATACCAGTCAACCAAAAAATCATCACATTCACGGATAAATACACACAGTAGCTTTTCAGATCTAGGGATTTCAAAGAAAAGAAAAAGCAAACTTTATTGAAAGATTCTTTCTTCTCCGATTTTTCCTGAGGAGGGGGGCTATCAAAAATGGTATATAAAAGGGTAAGGGGTTGGACCTCGGGGTGGAGTTTCCCCGTCTAAAACTCTCTACTGTACCCCCAGGCCATGTACCTAGTCTTGCCTGTGGACCTCTCTTGAGTTGCAAATCTTAAAACTGAAACATTCTTATTCCGCGTGAGATCCGCTGCTGTCACTTCATCGCTTTCACGCTGGCTCACGGGAGATGGTGACCGTTAGCTCGAATATTCCACTGCGTGTAATTACACCCAGGCCAGAGAAAGTTGTCGTTTGTTTGTTTGTGTTTTTGAACATTCGTCACAGGGAAACAAACGTCACAGGTACAACACCGGCACCTTTTCATGATTTCTTTTTTCTCGTTTGGAATTTCTCGATCTCTGGTTTATACGATATATATATACACCCGTTTGCAAAAAGGTTTTCATGTAGAGAGATATATAGATAGGTATATACTTTTGTTTTCTTGCACGTGCGCCCGTGTGCATTTACACTTGTCATTGTCCAACCTGTCAAAAAACTTGGTTCAACGATAAATTTTCTTTTCGTCAGGTTCTTTGTTCCAATTTGTCAATTAAAAAAAATATTGCACGAATATTGTCTGCAATTCTCTTGATTTGCATTCTCTTGAAAATTAAAGGATGAGAATTTGGTCACTTGTAGGTCATATAATTGTTGTCGTGACAGGATAAGGGGAAAAACGCAGATGAAATGAAAAAATGTGTTTTCGAAACCGCTGAGAAGGAAGATGTGATGGTGGATGTCCATAATATGTGGGAAGGAGCAACAATATTATAGCAGTTGATTAAAACGGACTAAGACGTTGACGAGGTTAATAGAAGCAGACTTTATCATAACCATGATGAGCTGGTCATATATCTTAATTTTCGTGTAAAATCACGGCCTGTAAGGCAACGTCTCATTGAAGACAGAATAAACTCTCGGCCACAAATGCTTTCAAGTTAGTTTACAGTTTCTCTTAAGCACGCCCCTGGACAGCGCATTATTTTATACATTCCATCAATAAAAATGCTTCGTCACTTGCTACAGATGCCATAGCATTTAGCCTACCAATTCGGTGACGACGTAGAACTCGCGGATCGGCTGTTTCGCGGGATGTTTTCCTCATTCCCAAAATCAGCTATATAATTCGCCATAGCAAATTTGTATCACAGGCTGCATGTATTTTTTTTAAAAAAAATTCAAAACGACATGTCAAATTAGAACAAAAAAACCTACGAGGAAAAAATTTATCGTTGAACCGAGTTTTTCACAAGTTGGACAATAACAAGTGAAAAAATGCACACGGGCGCACGTGCAAGAGAACAGAAGTATATATCTATCTATATATCTGCCTGTATGAAAACCTTTTTGAAAACGGGTGTATAAATAAAGTTTTTATTTGTTGGAAGACGATTCTCTTCTGTGCAAGTTATATATATATTTATAACATAACAAAAGAAAATCGCGCGCTCTGATTGGTCAGTTAGCCACTACCATTTGCCCGAGGGTGCACGCTGAGAAACCGAGCTAGCGCGGTAAAATTTAGGCAAATTCAACAAATCTCCTCTCCTGACGGTAAAATACACCGATGAAATGCACAGATGAAAAGTGGAAGGTGAAGAAAATACTAAGCTGTCGTTTTGAAGGAAAAAAGACAAAAGATCAGGCGACAAATTTGCCCTGGATGAATTAATCACTGTTTTCCTCGCGGCTAGAATCGGCTGGAGGAAAATCGAGCGAGCGAAGATTTAAGGTACATTTTGTGTGTTTTTTTATAGAGGAGAAAGTCTGTTTGAAATGTAAATTTATCAATTACCATTGTGTTATTGACTTTTTGGTCAAGCTGATGCTAAATTCAAGCAAATATTTTAGCAAACACGCTCAAATTCGAGACAGCTTTGTTGTGAAGTTTTCATCGCATCAATTAACAATTTTAGTTGAGTTTAAACGGACACATAACGCTGGAATAAGGGAATTTCATTTGAGTACAGAAACATTTGGGTTTTCAAATAAATTTTTCAAAAAATAACTTCTGTGTGTATTATTTTGTTCCTCAGTGTTCATTCATAACAGTCGTTCAGGGAACAGTCGAAAAACAACAGCTTCAGCGCCGGCTGTGTGTCCGCGAATTTCAGTTGACTTTCATAGCTGGATTTCCCCAGACAGATTTCGATACAAAGCTAGTTAATTTCTTTTTAAAATTAGTGTTACCTGTTATTCTAAAGGAATTACTGTCAAATTTTCTCATTTCTACTTTACGTTTATTTCAAAAATTGTCACATAAATAAGCTTGATAATAATTTCATTTATTTAGTTTTAGCTTATTTTTTAGAGTCTTTTTAGTTGGTGTTTATAGTTGCAGCTATAGTTTTCCCTCAAAGTTTTCACCCTAATATTAAGAGCAAGTAGACAGATGCCATTCAGAATAACAACGAAAAACGTTTTGCAATTTACCTGAAGACAGAGATCGGTTGATTCAGCAAAAGAAAAACTCAAAGGCAAGTTTTTGAAAAACATAGAACAAGATTTGTTTACGCGCGGGCAGGTGGCAGCATACTTGAACTCGTACCGACCGGACTCAACCGAAGGCAAATGGAAAATAATGTTTTTCTCTTTTGATTATGTTATAAAAGAAATGGCAAACGTTGCAGCTGTGCAACCATGGAGTTATGGATGCACTTGGGAGGTTTGCTAAGCACTCAAGAAGCTAGAGTCGCACTCGGCTATCGCCTCGTGCGACTCTTACGCTTCTTTCGTGCTTAGCAACCTCCCGCGTGCATCCATAACTCCATGGTTGCACGCTGCACGTTTACCATTTCTTAATTAGCTTGTTTTTTAGAGTCTTCTTAGTTCGTGTTTATAGTTGCAGCTATAGTTTTCCCTCAAAGTTTTTACCCTAATATTAAGAGCAAGTAGACAGATGCCATTCACAATAACAACAAAAAACGTTTTGCAATTTACCTGAAGACGGAGAACGGCTAATTCAGCGAAAGAAAAACTCAAAGGCAAGTTTTTGAAAAACAACTGAAGGCAAATGGAAAACAATGTTTTTCTCTTTTGATTATGTTATAAAAGAAATGGTAAACGTTGCAGCTGTGCAACCATGGAGTTACGGATGCACTTGGGAGGTTTGCTAAGCAACTCAAGAAGCTAGAGTCGCACTCGGCTATCGCCTCGTGCGACTCTTACGCTTCTTTCGTGCTTAGCAACCTCCCGCGTGCATCCATAACTTCATGGTTGCACGCTGC